AATTTAAAAACCCTGCTTCTGTCTCACACACACAGCCAGACAAATATACAGCAGGTCTGCATTCTCTCGGCCAGTGAATGAGGTCAAAAAAAAAGAAGAAAAAAAAATTCTATGCCCACACAAACTCCCACACACTTAGACGTACACACACATGCTGAGCAACACTTTCGCTTTCTTCCTGCGGATCTAGCTTTAGACAGGCATCAGATTTTCTTCCCGATGTGCTCTGAGTGTCTGCCATTCCTTCAAGCATCGCACGCTGGCTTCAGATCAGCGAAAAACATCCAGGTTCCTGCTGGGTGTGTTAGGATCCCCACTTTGACTGATACCTGCTCAGACAAACAGCCTCTGTGTTGCTGCAGAGTGTGTGTGTGTCTTCCTGTTTGTCTCTATGGCTGTTTACCAGGACTGAGCGGAGGCCGTGGCATCTGCTGAGGCCCATTTTGACAGAACGGCACGACAAATCTAAAGCAACAAAGCTCACACGCCCTGACTCGGCTTGGTGTTTGTAGCGGGCTGTTAACTTGACACTTTTCTTTTTTTTTTTTATCGGCGTGGGAGGTTAAAAAATAAAAGCAAAGCTGAAGGATTGTAGGTTAGCACAACACAAGCTGGACTGTAGAACTTGAAATAAAAGAGGTGTTCATGTGTGACAGAGGCTGGATTCTTTCACTTTTCCAGCATTTTGGTCATTTGTATTCAGCACCCTCCCCACTTACTGGCACAACTGGTGCGTAAAAAGCCTTAAAATACAGTTGCCTTTTATTGCAGTAGTACAATCTAACACTTCTTAGAAGCCGATCTTTAATTTGAGTGAATTTGAATTTCCCCACTCAGGGACTATAAAGGTTATTTCTTTTAAATTATCAAGACAGGAAATAAAATCCCTCTGGTAAAATATAATTGAATTGCAATTCATTTTGGTGTTTGGAGCATTTCTTACTTTTAAAGTTAACTTTTTCTCATCTGATTTAAGTTCCTATAAAATTTTCAGTGCGGTCGCATGATATATTTTCCTTGGTTTACACCATCAGAACTAAAATGCTTTAATGTTGGAGCAAAAGCTCAAAGTCTAAAACAGTTTTAAAAAAATGCAACAAAAGCTAGAAAATGAATTGTAAACTCGGAGAGTAAAAAAATATATACAACTGTCAAAGAATTTAAACAAACCTGGGGTCACGTTTTCCTCAAACATACGCTATATGCTTTAGGGCTGAAACAATTAATCGGAATAATCGATTATTAAAATATTCGTGAACTAATTTTAATCGATTAATCGTTAACTGGAGTATAGAGACTGTAAAACATGCTTTTAGGTGAAAGACCCGCTTACAGCAGGAATTATACCAAGGTTTTAAAAAATATATAAACATTTTGCATTTAAAAACTTCTTTGTATGTCAATCTGCTTTATCCTACGGAAGAGGATTAGGGCCAGTGGAAAAAAAATTTTTTTTTTACTGATTTTTAAATTTTCTTTCAGTTTAGTATGGGGAAAAAAAAGTCAGAATTCTGTGAAAAAAGTCAAAATTCTGACTTTTTTCCCATGTTAAACTGAAATAAAATTTAAAAATCTGTTAACTTTTTTTTTTTCAGTGGCCCTAATCCTCTTCCGTACTATCTAAAACTCATAAAGTGGAAAAGTTCTAGTTTCACCTGGTTTGATTCTGTTAAAAAAAAACTTCTTTAAGGAATCTTGGCTATCAGATTATTATTTGATTAATTTAAAAAAATAATCAACAGATTAAACGATTCGCAGAATAATCGTTAGTGTCAGCCCTAATATGCTTCCCACATGGCAACTGGCTGGGATGTTTAACAGGAAAACAAAAAAAGCCATTTTAAAAACTCAAACATGTAAAGAATAGAAAATAAATCTCAAGAAAAAAAAAGAACAAAAAGAGCATTAGAAATACTTGGATTGGATATTTTTTTCTTGGCAACATAAAACTTCTTAAAAATCCTTAAAAAGAGAACTGTATATACACTATATTGCCAAAAGTATTTGCTCACCTGCCTTGACTCACATATGAGCTTAAGTGACATCCCGTTCCTAATCCATAGGGTTCAATATGACGTCGGTCCACCCTTTGCAGCTAGAACAGCTTCAACTCTTCTGGGAAGGCTGTCCACAAGGTTTAGGAGTGTGTTTATGGGAATTTTTGACCATTCTTCCAGAAGCGCATTTGTGAGGTCGCACACTGATGTTGGACGAGAAGGCCTGGCTCTCAGTCTCCGCTCTAATTCATCCCAAAGGTGTTCTATCGGGTTGAGGTCAGGACTCTGTGCAGGCCAGTCAAGTTCATCCACACCAGACTCTGTCATCCATGTCTTTATGGACCTTGCTTTGTGCACTGGTGCACAGTCATGTTGGAAGAGGAAGGGGCCAGCTCCAAACTGTTCCCACAAAGTTGGGAGCATGGAATTGTCCAAAATGTCTTGGTATGCTGAAGCATTCAGAGTTCCTTTCACTGGAACTAAGGGGCCAAGCCCAGCTCCTGAAAAACAACCCCACACCATAATCCCCCCTCCACCAAACTTTACACTTGGCACAATGCAGTCAGACAAGTACCGTTCTCCTGGCAACCGCCAAACCCAGACCCGTCCATCAGATTGCCAGATGGAGAAGCGCGATTCGTCACTCCAGAGAACGCGTCTCCACTGCTCTAGAGTCCAGTGGCGGCGTGCTTTACACCACCGCATCCGACGCTTTGCATTGCACTTGGTGATGTATGGCTTGGATGCAGCTGCTCGACCATGGAAACCCATTCCATGAAGCTCTCTGCGCACTGTTCTTGAGCTAATCTGAAGGCCACATGAAGTTTGGAGGTCTGTAGTGATTGACTCTGCAGAAAGTTGGCGACCTCTTCGCACTATGCGCGTCAGCATCCGCTGACCCCGCTCCGTCAGTTTACGTGGCCTACCACTTCGTGGCTGAGTTGCTGTCGTTCCCAAACACTTCCATTTTCTTATAATACAGCTGACAGTTGACTGTGGAATATTTAGGAGCGAGGAAATTTCACGACTGGATTTGTTGCACAGGTGGCATCCTATCACAGTTCCACGCTGGAATTCACTGAGCTCCTGAGAGCGACCCATTCTTTCACAAATGTTTGTAAAAACAGTCTGCATGCCTAGGTGCTTGAATTTATACACCTGTGGCCATGGAAGTGATTGGAACACCTGATTCCAATAATTTGGATGGGTGAGCAAATACTTTTGGCAATATAGTGTATGTCAGGGTAGGTAACAAACTTCCACTGCTAAGATCTACCGTTTACGGTTTGTTTACCTGATTTTCATTTTCATTTTTTTTATTTTATTTTATTTGTTTTTTATTTTTTCCTACTTGCTTTGATTCTGTTTTATCTTCCTGTATTTTAATCATGTAAAGCACTTTGCATTGTCTTTGTACTGAATTGTGCTATACAAATAAATTTGCCTTGCCTTGCCTTGAGTTAGGAATAGTACAAATTACTATTTCGCTATTTTCGCACTTTTTCTTTTTTCCCCAAACATGGTCGACCCGCTAACAATCGGCTTTAGTCAGTCTAAACCCTCACTGGCAGCCTCGGGCCTCTGTCTGTGTGTCTGGTGACATCATCGAGCTGGGTTAGCATTGATGATGTCATAATTGCCACAAAAATCAGGGAAGTAAACAATGCAGAGCAACATAGACAGAAGCCGGGGTGTAGTCAGTGTGCTTTGTTGTTTCTCCCTATTATCTGTCTGAATCCATCTCACCAGAGCTGCTCCATGTTTATCGAATGTAAACAGTTGTTTCTGCTGTTAGATCAGAGGCGACTGGCGCAGTGTGTTGACGTCCGTACGCTGCGTTCAATGATGTCACGTAATTTAACGGGTCAAGCCGGCTCTGGGGTTCCCAGAGCATGCCGATCAGAACTGGCTGTGCCGTTAACGCTGCCAGCTTTCACTGATCTTGTTTGGGGTGGTGGTGGATGGTATCAGAGGAAGTTGGGTTTGTAAGACTTTGGGTTTCATTTTCACTCCTCTTAAGACGTTTCCCACTGAAAATACCAGGTTTACGCATAATTTTCAACCGGCTAACAATCTGCATTTGGCTCCCTTCCCACTGGCTATAAAAGCTGGTCTAACCCCTCGCTGGCAGCTGAGTGGCCTCTGTCCACCCGCCACAGCGAGTCTGGTGACATCATCCTGCTGGGTTAGGGTTGATGATGTCACCAGTGCCACAGAAATCAGGAAGGTAAACAATGGAGAGCAACATGTAATGAAGCCAGGGCGTAGTCAGTGTGTTTTACTGTTTCTCTCTATTATTTGTCTGAATCCCTCTCACCACACCTGCTCCATGTTTATCCAATGTAAACAGAGTTGTTTCTGCTTGTTAGATCAGAAGCGACTGGCATGGTGTGTTGACATCTGTATGTGGCGTTCAATGGTATCACGTTTAGCAGGTCAACCCGACTCCGGTGTTCCCTGAGCGTGCCGGTCAGAGCCAAGGAGATTTTAACGTGGTTTTAACGTCGATTGTCGAGTTTAAACAGTTTCTTCAGCCAGTGGGAACGTGGTATTAACGACAACAGAGTAGTCTCAGGTTTAACCCAAGTAGGATTAGCGATACTCTACAAGAATATTATTCAAACAAAAGTAAGAGGTACGGCACAGTAGGCCTACTCCTATAAGTACATTTGCTTCAAATAGTTACTCAAGTAAATGTAGGCTAACCGTAAGTTTTGTATCTGGAAGAAAAAGACAATCTAGGGTACATTAAGATAAAGTGATTGTTCTAATGTGAATTATCATCCTTCCTCCTGCCTGTTTCATCATAGAACATGGTATTGATTAAGTTTCAGCGCTTTCCGGTCTGCAAAACGGTTGAATAAATGATTAAAAGCAGTTCTGCTAATAACATCATGTCAGAACATTTTGCTATTAAATAAAATCCTAAAAAGAGATTATTTCTTACTAAAGTGTGGAGGTTGCCATGTCTTTGGGTGCAGCTTTCCCTGCCTTTCCACTCACCGATGAAGTAGGACAGTAAGATGGCCAGAAGGGCGGCAGCTGCGATTGCCGTCACCGCCGCACATTTCCAGCTGCAGTATTTGGACGGCTTCTTCAGCTTGAAGGCTGAGCGGGAGAAGGTGTTCCTCGGCAGCAGGCGAGGGGGCGGAGAGTACACGGTCCCTGAAGTCAGCGGGTATCCAGGGGAGGAGCTACTGAAGAGAGGGGTGGTCCCTGATGACGTCTTGAACAAAAAATGCCTGCGGACAGATGAAGGAAAAAGACAGTGAAACATTTTAAAACTAGACATAGATCTCTGCAGCTTTGAGAGCAGACAAAAACAATATTTGAAGAGAAGGTGACTTATGTGAGGCTCTGTTCAATTTTTCGGTCTGATAAACGTATTTGGGAGAACACGGTTGACCTGTGGCTGTGACTCAGCCCTTCCTGTCTTATCATGACCTCCACCTGATGCAGCCTCACATCTTTCCCTCACTGGCCTTGCTTTTCTTCTCCTCCAGCCACTTATGATGTGTCCTGTTTTTGCCCTTAATGGCTAGACAGGATCAGGACCGCAGCACTTTCTTCTCTTTCTCATGGTCCAGGCGGGTCAGAGCTCAGAGAGAACATCAAAGAGGGATCTGAACCCCCATCCTTTCACTCATGTTTCCCATTATCCTTTCCCTTCACTGCTGATGCTCACACAGTGACCGTCCTGCTCTCCTTATGTTTCTGCTTAGTGCTTTCTTGTCATTTACTATTTTCATCACTTTGTTTCATTTTAAAAGCAGATTCATTTCATAATCTAGCCTTTTAAAGAAGAGCTGCAGCCGCAGTGGGAAGCATTGCACATTTGAAATGGTATAAAAGACGGTGAAATGAAAGAAGGGATAAAAAAAAGGGGGCAAAAGCTTTTTGTGTCATCCTTTGTGACATGTACCCTGGACTGGCATGTGGAGAAAGGATGCGGACCCAGACACAGACCTCAGGTGGTATGACAGAACAGAGCCCTCAGGTGAGTTCGACATATCACCGGAGGAAAGGTCACCTCTCTGCTGCAGAGATGGAGCAAAAAGGGACTTTGGCTCACGGTGTTTGTGGAAGTTGTCCTGTTTGTGGCTTTGGGATTCAGTCAGAAAGAGATATTGTTCATTTTCATCCGACCCTTTGAATCTCTGACCTTCACGACAGGGGCGGATTTACCATTAGGAAACACTAGGCAGTTTCCTAGGGCGCTAAGTTCCTGGGGGCCCCATAAAACTCTGTTTACATAAGTTAATACTTATTTGTGCACATTAATCATGTTTTTGATAAAAATCCTTTCACTAAAATGCCATCAGAAGGCTTATAATATTAAGTGTGTCTCAGCCCCCCCCTTCAGTGTCCACCATATTGGATCAATCCATTAGCTGCACATGTTCAGAAAGGTCCAAACAGACAGCAGCAAGATATTTGATAACACCAACTTAGCGCTTTAGTCGCTATATTTAGCCACTTTTCAGACCCCTCTAGCACTTTGATTTCTAAAAAGCTCCTAGCGCCAAATCTAGAGACTTTTTTCTGCTACTGGAGACTTTGGAGACAACATCTAAAAGCAGCGAACTCTGCTCTCCAGAGCGAGTAGATTGGTAACCCCGCCTCCTGCTCTCCTCTATCTTGTCTGCTGTCATGATTCATGCAGCTATTATTTCATCCAAATGAAAATGGAGAACAGAGAAGCAGATCATGGCTTGTCTACAGTGAAAAGAAGGACTGGGTTATTTACTTTGGCCTTTTTGGAAACACAGGAAGGAGCAATCAGCTAAGTGAGCTTAGTGCTTGGAAAAAAAACTTTCATTCCTTTAGAGACAGCATGAAAAGTCAGCTGAGTACAAAACATAGAGAGGAAAACAAGAAGAAAAGGGACAAGAAGAGAGGGACACAACCTAGAACAGATAATGGATGTCTATTCTATTAACATTTCTCTATCTGGAGAATGGGGCTGTTCTATGTGTTCTCTATTCAGAGGGCCCCCTGCCTGTCTTTGCCTAGGGCCCCAAATTTCCTAAATCCTTGATGGTGAGGACTGAGTAGGGAAGACATGGAGAACCCTAGTGTGTAGTCAGCATTTAAAAAGTAATTTGGCTCATTTTGGCGTACTTTTGTTTTCTTTGGTTCTTTAAAGTTTCTATATGCCTCTAAGGAAAAATAAATGTTTATTGTGTGCTTTGTTCTGTTTCTAAAAAGGCCCTGACACTTACATCTATAAATTTAAATGAAATCCTGTCTTGATCCCTTTCATAACATTCAAGCAAAGCTGGGATCTCTGCAAACCTGTCCTGTACCAGTTGGATCTCTCCTCAATTAAATAAGAGGATAGAATAGTCTCTAACTTCACACAGACCAGTAGGTGATTCAATTCTATTCAGTTAATTTCTATAGAGCCTATACACGTCATCTCAAGGCACTTTACAGTGCAGTACAGTGATAGTTTTTCAATTCAATTAATTAAACTCTATCCAATTTAATTACAAAATATTTTTTTTATCCCAAAGGCGAATTAAAAGTTGGAATAAATCATTTACTTTTTTTAGATGGCCTCACAGTTGCGTTTCCAGTCGAGTTTGTTGTCCCAGTGAACATTAAGGTGTTTGTTCTCCACGACTTTCACTACTTGTCCCATCATGTTTTCAGGATTCACTCGCTCCTGTTTGTTTTTTTTACATTGTAGATATCACTGGAAGTCATATTTAGGCTTTTTGATAAAGCTTCTAGTTAGAGTGGCTCAGGTTATCCTGAGCTATCTCTATAGTTCTGCTGCTATAGGCTTAGACTGCTGGAGGACATAGGGACCCCTTTTTCATCATTCTGCTTCATTCTATCTCTATAGTTCTGCTGCTATAGGCTTAGACTGCTGGAGGACATAGGGACCCCTTTTTCATCATTCTGCTTCATTCTAGCTCTATAGTTCTGCTGCTATAGGCTTAGACTGCTGGAGGACATAGGGACCCCTTTTTCATCATTCTGCTTCATTCTATCTCTATTCTCCCACTCTGCAGAATCTATTAGTTCAATCTCTAATGTTCTGCTCTCTCTGCTTTTTCTCATAGTAGCTTCATCTGGTCTGTTCCTGTTTGGCTGTGACTCCATCCTGGAGAGAAATATCAGCTGTGCTGCTGCCATCAACACCTTTGTTTCTAGATGTTGGAGCTTGGCCTGTTTTCCAGTGTAGTCCTGTTTCTCTGACTGTGACTAACTGGATGTGCTCTCTTCATCCTCTGACATGGGAGCTGGCTCGGAGCTCGTCTGCCTGGCTCTGTGTTTCCTGGACGGGGCCGCCTTTTACAGTTGCTTTTTCTATGTCTGCTTCTGCCTCCTTGAACCCCAGTGGGCCTCAGCAGATGGCCGCTCACACTGAGCCTGGTTCTGCTGGAGGTTTCTTCCTGTTCAAAGGGTGTTTTTCCTCTCCACTGTCGCTACAAGCATGCTTAGTGTGAGGGATTGCTGAAGAGTCAATGAGTCGATGCAATCAGCTGGTTTTCCTTAGATAGAAAACTATGAATCAATCTGACTGGATGATCTGGTGAACTGGAAAGTGACCTGAGATGACATGATGTGAATTGGAGCTATAGAAATAAACTGAATAGAATTATATTTTTCCAAACAATGCACTTTAAAGTCTGTTTTTAAATTCAGCAGACTGACTTACTGGGGCTGCAGCTCTCAAAACCCCAAAGCGTAGATTAAGTACAGGTATGAAGGGGGTTGGTTTTAGATTAATTCAGGCTATAAATTAATCATTTAAAAATGCCCTGATTAGGTCCCTAATTCTAGAAATTACTACCTCTAAGTAGCAGGATATGATGAAGAAGGATTTAATTTAAATTAAATTTTACTTGCTTTGGGATAAAATCCCCAAAAAGTACGAAACACTAGACTTCTTTACTCACTCTTGGTAAAAGACAGACTCATGACTACAGTGAGTTATGAGGGTTATCAGTTTTTTTCTTCCATCCACCAGATTTGTCACTCTTCTCCGCCTCCAGTCCAGGAATGTGACTCATGTCTGCATAGATGTCTGTCAGGGCTGTCCTCTCACTAATACGACCCACTGTCACTACTATTGTGAGTATTTGGTGTCCTTTAAGAGGAAGGAAAGCAGAGCGTCACTGTGCTTTGAGGTCTGCCCCCATCATTTTGATGCCTTTAATCATTCAGTTTCCATAACAGTGTGTTTCCTTTTGTCTATAAACAGGTAATGGGATCCAAGCATGAAGTTGTTTTCTTTTTTTGGAGAACTGTTCCACTCTTTCTATCAATTATTCACTCAGTTGGAGCTTGTCCCCATTCTCTCTCTCTATTTCTACATTTTATACACCTGATTGTTGGATTACTGTCCCTCTGGATTCTTATTCTCCCTCCTTCCTCCCCCATTTACCTGTCAGGTGTTTTGCATTATACAGAAAAAAGAGGCAGGAGGGCCAAAACAGACCAGAAAGAAGATTACAGGGTGAAATGTAAGGAAAGCCCACCCTTAGCCACAACCCCCTTCCTTTTTATTAGGCATGCAACATTCAGATCTGCAGGAATACCTATGGTTGTGTGCAATACACACCTGTTTTTTTTTTTTTTTTCAAGGTCAAGCAGCGTGTGCCTGCTTGAACTCCTTTCCACAGCCATTGAAGCACTCTGCGATGGCAAGGCCGGCGCTAATTAATTACACCGCTCCTAATGTGCGGCCACGAGCCGATGAGCCGCTTGCATTCTGCACGACACATTGCATGCAATTTTTGATGTGCCGCTATGCATTTGAACTCGCCCAGTGAAATCGTTTCAGTCCAAGGCTTTGTTGTTTGTCTGCAGACGACGCTCTGCGAGCCTGTGTGGGATGGGAATATGTCTACGGTCCGCACTAATTACGAGCAGGAATGGAAAGTGTCTAATGTGCTCTGGGGAGGTAATTGACATTGATTTATGTTGTGGACGGCGATGGAGGGGTTCTATCATAGCAGGCAGCCAGCAATCACAGCTCTATATCATTAGGCTGGGGTGGATTGTGTATTTATGAGTGTTTGTGCATCTGTGTGTGATTTATTTATGTTTTTTGACAATGGTCCAGTATAGAAATGCCACACATAATTAGAGAAAGCTTACAGAGACTCTACCACCCTTCTACCCCTACCTCCCAGCCGCCATTCCCCTCACTGTCATCGCGTCTTAGGCATTCAACACAAATATTCAAAATTAACAAAATCACACACTGCCAAACATTTACACAGAG